CTCTTTCCTTCAGCCTATGAGGGAGATCTTAATGACTCTCTTCCGTTTAACACACAGTTCAAGAGAGAAATGCCCATTTAAGCCATTCTTTTAAGTCACACTCATATAGCTGTGAGAAAAAACAAATGAGTGCCACAGACTAAGTCTAGGGTTAAAGAATGAGAGATTCTGCATTTATCCCTCACATATTTTTGGGCAATTATGTGCCAAGTACTACTCTGGGTGTGATAAGCAGATTGTGTTCGCATGGAATGTAGTGTGTTGGGGGAAGTAGTAACCAACACTGAACACATAAACACAGAATCACTTTACATTGTGACAAAAACTTTGAAGGCTATGATACAGGTTTGATATGTTAGTAAATTGTCATAATTGTCATAAGGGAGTTATTATGGAGAAGTGGACAGGAAGGACCTCTTAGACTTGACTGACCAGAATTCAGCCACCTGATAAAACAGCTAAATAAAGCATCAAAAGACCAAAGGTCCCTATATTTTGAGAGTGGGAAACTTTTGGAATCACAAAAGTCATTTTGAATACCCTTAAGTTTTATAAAACTCCCCTATGAGAAAACATTGCCCAATATGAAAAGTAAAGCACAAGTAATGCCCACTAAGAGCGAATTAAGACTGCTGTCTTCACAGAAGATAATTTATTGAAGATCAGTTTCATCCAGTGGAACTCTGTAAGAACACTCCAGTCCAATGGCCTCCCCTTCCGTGAATTCAGAAGTCCCTCAATTCTTTTGAGAGCTCCAATTAGGACCATCAATTTAAGAAAACACTTGCAAGGCACCCAGGGACCAGTTCTACTTTCTGGTCAAGAAAACTCTACGCGCAGCAGAACCTCCACTATTTTACACAAAGACAAGATTAAAGTCAGTTTCACCAAGAGAAGTTGCAAAGTTTTCTTCCGCCTAGGGTCAAATGCACCGTTCAACTCGGGGGACATCAGAGTAGGATCCCAGGAAAGCCAGATCATGGTGAAAGGAGATTTATTCCAGGCAGATTCGGACTCGCTCATCAGCTGAGAGGCACTTTACGTTCCTAAACTAATTTTTCGTTTGCAAGCTCTAAATGGATGACCGCAAAACAACTTTAAAAGGCGCACAAACAGAATGGCCTCGAGTAACTTAAACTATTACTACCAGGAGGAGTTAAAGTAGGAGGCTCGCCAACCTTACCTTGACCAGCCACACTCCGGTGTTCTGCTTGGCGCCGGTCAGATCGAGCTCCCCACGCTCGGCCATGGTCAGGAGCAAGCGCAGGCGTGCGGCCCGGAGCAGCAGCCCCGGGGAAGTGGTGGGCCGCGGGGCAAAGACAAAACGCGGGGGAAGGCGGACTGTAACTAGCCGGCGATGCTCACCGGCCAGGATAGTAGGAACCGGAGAAAGAGGAACACGCCGCTGGGAGCAGAGGACTGCGCCTGCGCGTCGCTACCGTCAGTACGGTGCGCCGTTGCGGACAAACTTTCTGTTTCGGCAATTTCTCGGGGTGAGTGTGGCTACGGGTGCTGGTTGTAGCTGAGTGATCCAGAGTCTAAGCCAAAACGTCAGCAATGCATTTAAAGACTAGATCAGCAGAAATAAAGAAAACGAGTGTCAAAACGGAAAAATGGGATTCAGAAAGAAAAAAAAGTCCGTATATGCCCAACCTTAGCCAAGGAGAGAAAGAAAGACAGCATTTGAAAGAGCGAGCCAGGGCCCTGAACTGGCGTTCTTGCCCAAAGATCCTCACCTCGAGTGGGCACTGGAATCAGACTGAGTAGTCCCCAAGTAACGTTTCTTACAGACAGACAGAGACAGAAAGTGAGAAATCACCCCCCAGGGGGGATGACCACGCTGCAATCCCTTCTCCTCCATTCTCCTCTCGGGATCTTGGGCACACACGCACATGCGCCCGGCATGAGTTTTAAGCCACCGGGTTCAGGACGTGAACAGCAGCAGACTACGTGAGAGTCCAGCGGCATAGCCATTATGCTAATTGCTGGTATCCCACAAACATGCCGTTTCTAGGCCTGTAAGGAAAGTGGTGTCTCAACTCAGAGTTCTGTTCTTGAGCTCTTCTGATTAAGCAAGCAGAGCACATCCTTTTAAGGTTCTGAAGCCCAGATGCCACCTAATTAGGTCACTGACAATACACCCTACCACACCTCTAATCCCTGTAAACCCGTCAGACAGTGAACACGTCAGGACCTTCCCCAATCATTTCAGAGCCCCTGCACAATCGAATCTCTTTCCTCAGATGCTCTATTTTTCTTATCCTCACTGTGGTTGGCAAACTCCTACTTATGTTTCAAGACTGATGGAAATGTCACTTCCTATGAGACCTTTTATCAGCTCCCTGAGAGGAAGTTCATTTTCCTTCTCATCACAGTGTGTGATATTTAGCACACTGCACTATAATATATATGTTTACATGTTTGCCTTTGCTTTCTAGACTGCGAGCTCCTCCTAGGTGGAAATAGAGCTCTTCCCCTCAGCTTTATTGAGGTATAATTGACAAAGGAGACATTGTGTTTTATTCATTTTGTATCTACAACATCTAGCACAGTATTTGACATATTGTCAGATTTCAATAGCTTTGACTGAATGAACATTTCCTGAAGTAAAACAAGCCGTAAGGTATTATACGAATGGCAAGTAATTTATTGAATCACACGTAAGAGCCATGCATAAAACTGAAGAAATTCTATGTCTGTGCAGCAAAAAGCCAGGAAAAGCTGTCAACACTCTGAGATCAGCTGGCAAAACTAACAGGAAAGATGGGAGAGACCAGGCATGTGTTGAAAAGAAAGGTTGCATTCTCATGCAACAACTTGGAAAAGGGCCTGAAAAATTAAAAGGGCAAGTGCATGAAGGGAACTGCTTTAAGCCTTGATTGAGTAGAAGGAATAAATTAAGAGACTGAGAAGAGAATGAAAGTGAAGTAGCCTGGAGCACCCTAAGAATGAACTTTAGAGTAAAAGTATTGGATGCAGATGGCTAGTACCCAAAACAGTCTCAAGATTCTTTACTCCTCCAGACGATTGACTACTCCGTGTCTTATTAAATCTTTTAAGGCAAAGTGGGAAGACCCAAGAACTCTGCTGCCTGCAATTTTCTCATTCTAATAGTGCCCAGACCCACCTGTGACCCTGTTTTTGTTTTCTTAAAGAGAGATTTTTGCTATAGGCCACATGCACTTGCCATAGGAGACAGAAAGCAAGAAATCACCCCTCCACGGGGCATGGCCACATCACAATCCCTTCTCCTCCATCCTCCTCTTGAGATTTTGGGCACACAGGCACACACGCCTGGCGTGATTTTTAAGCTGCCAGATCGGGCTCTTGAACCGTAGTCAACTATGTTAGAATCCAATTACATAACCATTAAACCATCTCCTGGTCCCTCTAGGGCTTAGATTCTGATTTAATCCTTGGGGCATCTCTATATATTTAATTGGCAGAACTCCATTTTCCTTGGTGGGTCTTCTAGGATAGCTACAGCAGGAACAAATCCCAACTACCACAGCCACCACCAATCACACTCATTCCAGACGAGTATTCTTAGCATATGATTCCTGGGCAAGCTGCCTTAGGGTTCCCAGAGCAGGGGCAGCCAATGGCACAATGGTAATTCAATGCTCTGAAAAGGTGGAACCATATGGCAAGGTCCCAGGTTCTTATTCTGAGGCCTATTTTTATATATGGAACATGCATGAATGCCCGTGATTCAGGCTGAGGTTGGAGGTGAATCGTGACCCTGTTGATGTGCCTCCTTCTCTCTGAGTCCCTTTGGAAGGAAAAAAAATACAAAAAAAAAAAAAAAAGGAGGAGAAAGAGGAGGAGAAGGAGGAGGAAAAATAATTCTCTGAGGCATGGACTAAAAGTGCAGACACTTGAGCCTGAATCCAAGTGAACAAAATTAGAATTTCCAAAAGTAGATCTGTAAATAGACATTTTAGCAAGCTCCCTGTGTATTTCTTAGACACACCAAAATCTGAAAAGCATTGTTCTAATTCCACATCAATAGTGTTCATTAGAACTAGCCAGCTTCCAAGGGCTGAGGCATGAGAAGAAGTTTACCAGAATTTTTTTTTTTTTATCATTTGTCTTGTAACTAGAATTCCCCTAAGCCTTGTCAATTCCGAACACCACAATTCTATCACGTTGTCATTAGAGTATAAGCAACAAATCCATTAGAGGCGATGTTATGAGTGACTTGAAGAAATTAAAATGAAGTTAATAGGTGAGTTCACTCTCAAATTTTTGTCCTTGGCTGTCACACACAGTCCTGGTGTGTCTCCAGACCAGAAATGTTCTGTGTTTGCATGCACTCAGAACCATTCCAGCAAGAGGAACTATCATTTCCTGAGGAGTTATCACAGGCAACGCATACTGCCACAAAGTCCTCCTTAAAAAGTCAGATTTGTTATTTGTTGGTTACTTGGGTAAGCATTCTCATTCAAAGCTTATAAATGAATAGAGCAACGTGGTAATTAATGTCCTGACATTAGTCATGTCATAGGTAAATAATTTTACTTTGATATCACACCAAAGCTATGAAAACTCTCTGCATTCTCCTGCCTTTCTCTTCAGCTGTGACAATGCTTGCTTTCTCAAGAATGCCCACTTCCTAGGACTTTCCTTATTTCCCCAGTTTACCTCAACAAAAAGAAATAGTTCCCATGCTGTTTAGTGTAGAGTAAGCACTCTGGAGTTAAACAGATTTTCAAGGCATAGCTCTAATAACGTATCAGCCTAATTATGTTAACCTCTCTGCATCTATTTTCTTGCTTAGAAAATGAGATTATTTTACTCACCTCATAGAATTATGATGGAATTAAACAAGAAAATATATCAAAAGATTTCACACTATGATCTGAAAACTATTTGGTAGCTGCATTCATCATATTGGGTCCAAATAACTGAAAGGAAGCACAGAAGTTTTATTATAGGAAGTGGTATGAGGGAATCCAGATCAGAGGTTTAAAGCGAAACATTCCAGTTGCATGTGTGTGCATGCCCAGAATTCTGAAAGGAGGAAGAGATGGAGGAGGGATTGCCATTGACAATTCTTCATGGAAGACTTCTTTTCTTCCTCTCTCTCTCTCTCTCTCTCTCTCTCTTTTCCCTGTCTCTCTCTGGTGAGGACACACTCTTTAGAAATAAATAAATAAATAAATTTCCTCTAGTTGTTATGAAAAGAAATGAATGAGAGGGGACAAGAATGGAAACCAAGGGACTAGTTGAAACTATTGCATGATTCACGGGAAAAAAAAAAAAAAAAGGGTTATAGGGGACCAAAATGGAAATCAAGAGACCAATTAAGACTATTGCATGATCCGAGTACAGGAGCATAGTGGTTTAGATTAGGAAAGTGCTAGGAGAGATGAGAAGTGATGAATCTGAAATATATCAAAGATAGAATTAGGAACCAAAGAGGCAATGCTTTGTGATTCTTTGCTGTGTAGCAAATAGGACCACTCAAGTGATAACTCAGTACAAGAAAACAAAACAAAACAGACACCCACCCACTGTGTTGCTCCTTCTGGGAGAGACAAGACTCTGCATGAATTTTGCCCGATGGATGACATGATTCAGTTGAATTACTTCTGTTAAGTGCCTTATGTCTGATGTAACATATGTCTACTGTGGCCTGCATGAAGCCTTCACTATCAGTAAGTCAGTTTAATTGCCCATTAGGCGTTACTGTGGGAATAAAGTGTTAAATAAAGAATGAGAAAATTTAATTTGTCATTGCTCTAATGAAATTCAATTTGTTTTCACATATAATAATGTACCAAAACATATATATCATACTTTACACATTAAATACAATTTTAGTAGGGAAACGGCACTGATCTTGATACTTGATACTCGATCAAAGTGCCCAAATAAAAAAATCATAAATAACAATAAGTCCTAAAATACCATATGAAGCATATGGATCCTCACTAGTGTTCAGATTTCAAAACCAGAGAAGCCAAGCATGCTGAATTTCAATAAGGAATCAAGTCCACATTCCACTAAGAGTGAAAGCTAGTGGCTTCTTCCATTTTGATGGGTAAGATTTCCTACTCAAATACACAAGCATTAGAGACAGAATAGTTTTAACATCCAGGGTTGAGTGAAAACATTACTATCAGCGGGTGGAGTCAGGAATGTTCAGTTTAAGGCTCCTTTCTATGAGCTGAGCTCTTGCCCTAGCTTTGCTAACATGATTTTCGTTTGTCTCTGGTGATAAATGACTGAACTGACAACCTGGCTCTGCTGCATGAAGTTGATGGGGCTGGGGCCTTCCATCTCATCATTTTACCCTCCCTGGAGTGTGTCCTTGTCTGCATGGTAAACCACCATGTCTGCATTTTCCATCCAGTAGGAAAAGAGAAAGGGAAAAGAGATTGTATATCACTTTGACCAAAGCTTTAAACAATCT